GAACAACCTACCTGCTTCCACCGTGTCCGACAGGTCGTGGTTGGCTGCTGTCCGGGGAAACTCCTTCAGTTTTCGGCAGCTGAGGTTGAGGACGCCGCTGGCCGCCGCCTCCTCCAGCGCCCGCTCCAAGCCCCGGTTGGGAGGCAGGTTGGCGCTGCCGATGTGAGCCTGGACTAACGGAGAAGAACCCAGAGGGGGGCGAGCCGACTCCGGTCCCAACGTCGCCATAATTTTCCGCCTCTCCGCTGCGCGTGTCCGTGTATCGGTTATGTCCGAGAGAGCGCGCGGGGTTGGCTACGTTCAGGTAAACAGCGGGACACTGACTTCACAGACGTCCGTGGCCGTGCCGCGCGTTCTGAGTTCGTGATTGTCGCCGCCGCGTCTGCCTGGAGGTCTGCGCGTGTCGTCAAGCGTCTCAGTTGGACGGTGCGACATCCGGGGAACAAATTTCAAAATTGTACACCGACCAGGCCAATGTTACGGTGGAATGAAATAATAAATACGAAGCCGTTTCGGGTATAATTTAGATATTCATTTTTTACATTTCAAATTAAATATTTCAGACACAAATGTAAAGGTCTTACCATTGAAATGTGGTTATAAATCCAGATACGAGGGGGAATTAATATACCATGATTGCAAATGTATAAGTAAAGCACTGTTAATGCAATTGTGTAAGTGGTTATGTGGCCTCAACTCTGTTCTTATAATCTATTATATAAAGATGACTGATGATATTCTACTGCGCTACGATTTTTATTTTGAAAACAGTGTTTCCGGTCTCACGCCGCATTTCTTCTTTCTTTTTTTTTCACTCAGTGCGGCTGCGCACTAGCCTTTTGCGGCCCGTGAAAGGCAGTGAAAATGAAAGTGGGGCTGAAATTTAATGAACAGTGACCTCTGCTGGACAAAAGCGACAAACAACACATTTCGCGCACTGAAGCTTTCTCATAGAGTTTAATCTCTGTTATATCTGTTATAGTTAGTTATCTCAGAAATTTTCATTTTGCTTTAAAACACAAGGTTTAAAGACTAAAGGGCTGGGTGTCCTATTTTGCAGTTAGGCCTGTGCTTAAGTTATGGTGGTTTCCTTTTGACTAAAGTGGCTGCTGAGACCAAGATATGCAGGTCACACCAGTTACCTTTAGCACGGATATAAGAATAAGTAACTACTAACAATGCATTGAAAAGTGTATAGAAGATTGTAACTACAGTTCTCTTGTAATGTAAGTTCTCTCTGTGTAAGTTTTAGATTTAACAATTGGTACAAACCTTCACAATTTTTTCTTCATTTTTAATGTCATATTTACACTATCTGCAACACCACTGCTGCAGTTTATGAGCAGTAATGTCACCAGTTCCAAATGAACAATAAATGAACCATAAATATACATTTGATCAAATTTTATTGTTTGAGATTAAAGCACCGGAAAGCAGCTCTATGAGAGGAGAGAAACTGATTCGTGCTGCAGGCCAAAAACCCTTATTTACAACCATCCTGTGTACATGAAGCTTGTGTGTGTGTGTGTGTGTGTGTGTGTGTGTGTGTGTGTGTGTGTGTGTGTGTGTGTGTGTGTGTGCGTGCGTGTGTGCGTGTGTGCATGAGTGATAATGAGAGAGTCCCACCGGGAATCAGAAGGAAGTGCTGAGTCAGCTCATTACATAACGAGCTTGCATCAGCAGATGATGCACAGTGCTGACCCCTGATTACACTGAGCACCATCACTTGTTCATACTTACATACTTGTGAGGACCTTTGCTAACCTAACACCCAACACATCTTACAGATTAACTCAAACTCAATAGTTATTGCAAATTTTTAGCCAGTTTGCTTTTTGCATGCAGTTTAACCATATGGAAAAGATATATATAAATCTTATAAAGTTTGTATCTGTCTTGTGTGAAACTTGTGTGAAAAGCATACAGGACTGAAAACAGATATAAGAGCCCTTGAAAAATTATATAAATGAAACTTGGATGTTTTGGATACTTACTAAAACAATATATGAAAGTAATGAGAAAGTGGCCACTTTCATGAGTAAATCATGTAAGCCTTCTATGATTCACTGTATGAAGTAGGCCACATCTTATGCAAGTCTTTTATAAGTTTTTACTATTTATTTTCCACATGGGTATAATTACATATGTCCTTTTTTATCTTCATAAAAGTCAAAGCAGAGAAGAGGGGAGTAACACGAGGCAGTGGAAGGAAGAAGTTTAAGAAGCGACTCAAATATTTCTCACAAAAAACGTTTTTACCAGTTAGAGCTTTCTTTTCTTTCTGATATCACAATTTTCTGACATAAAGTGATGTCATGTCAATGAGGTACCAGGATGTAAAAATGTGTGTTTCAGGAAATGTGTAGCGCATGTTTCCTTTTTAAGCACTTTTTTTTTTTTACCCCCAAAATAGTGACTATGTTACAAAAAAGTTGAGCTCACTGTAAGTCAATTATGTGGTCTTCATAACAATGAAAGAGATCTGATTAAGCCACAAAATAACAGAGGAATAGACGACAATGACTCCAGACCAAGTCCCTACTTTCTGTGGCATTTTGAATGGCATTATCAAAACATATGTTGTTGTTGTTGTTGTTGACTACAAAGTCTGGTATTCATGTTCACCAGCTAAAAAAATGAGGAAGTACACCAAATATGCAATAGTATACACTTAAAGTGAAATTCAAATCATCTCTGGATGTTCATGCTTGAAAGAATGAAGTGCTGCGGTTTAAGATTTCGGTGTTTCTTTCCCAAAAAGACTCAGTCATCTATCTTTATCTTTTATTAAAGCAAACAAATGAGTTGTAATGTTTATTTCATAATCACTAATAAAAACAGCCATATTTACTCACAACATTTACTGAATCATTACATTTAGACTTGTAGTTTAAAATCAGACTTATAAGAGTTTTCTCAGATGACTCGTCTTGCTTTGTCTACTGGATCAAGTTACCCCTTAAAGAGAAGACATGGCAAAGTTGAAATATATTTTATTCATCCCAGAGTTGTAAGGTCTCTTTGTTACAGCAGTTAAAAATTAACTGAAAAAGTCCTGAGCATCACGAAAACATTTAAATCACTTCCCCCCTTCAGAACCTGGTTTGAATTTCACCAGTCGACTTGACCGTGTCTAAAGTACTGTGCAAAAGTTCTATGCTATCTCTCATGTTGCTAGGAAAATAGGAAATGTTGCAGCAGTTTACTGAAACATGCAAACCTCCATGGAAATGCAGTATATGAAGTGAACACAGACAGGTTCGCTTGTCTGTCACAGACAGACAGACAATTCCTGGTTGCATCCTTTATATCTGAAATACCAATTGTTCTGAAATATCAACCGAATGTCAACCGACGTTGAGCTATGTCTGGGCTCTGAAATGCTGCCACCTGGAGGTAAAGACTGGAGGTAAGTGTCTCAATCTGATCACGTCTCAACAACACCCTCGGCCATTGATACTTGTCTCTGTACTAGAACTTCCTCTTTCACCTCTGCCAGCTGCCAGCTAACATGCCAGCCTTTGCTGAGCACTGAGAAATGTCACGTAAGATATGCTGCTGAACGAAACCTTTGCACTCGCGTCTGTGACGGTGTTTAAATTGAGGAACCTTTGAACACAACATTTAAGACCTGCTATGGGTTTAAGGAAACACTTTTGCTCCTATAATCGATCTGATTATATTTCATTAAATGTTCCTTCATTCTTTAGAATGAAAGAAACAAGAAATATTTTAATTATATGTTATGTGTTATGTATTATGAACGCTCCTAAAATAAAAGCATGACTTAATACATAATGAATCAACTCCCTGTTATTAAATAGTTGAGAAAAAGTCAGAAGACTGTGTTTTTTTAAGTGGCAGATTACATATTTAGGGTAATTTTGTGGTAAGGTGCTGTGCGGTGTACTGAGAGCTTCTTGGTGTCTCTGTTTTTAGTGGAAAAAAAGCCCAGCACTGACTGCTGAGACACAGAAAATACAAACCTGATTTAAATACAGGAAGTGCTGAAAACCAACCAGCCCTCTTCCTTTCTCTCCAGCTGCCGCAGCTTTTTGAAGACTCGCATTAGTCCTTCCTTCACCAGACTGACAGGTTTCCTCTTCGAGTCACTAACTGGTGAGTAGCCTGAGCTTTGTGTTCTGGTCAGTGCTGCTTCTGCTGTCTGCTTTTCCCCCTCTCTCTGCTTCCAACGTGTTGCTTTTTACTTTGACTGAAACAAAAAAGGGAAATATTTTAGACATTATCTCTTACAATTAGAATCTACTTCTGCATTCATACAGGAAGCTCTGTTTGCTGATTAAAGCGAAGCAGCTCCTTGAAGATATATGAGCGATATATAAGAGAGATTAATCAGCAGGGCTCATGTAGAAACTGCTTTCTGTGTCGCTTTGAGAGTAATACATTTGTATTTGCACTGAAATATCTTTGGCTGTTTTCTTCCTTTTTTTTAAAATCTCAAATCTTTGAAATCCACTTCTTAGATTTGTTTGGGGATACATTTTGTTGTATATGTGTGTTATGAGGATACAGAGGGTGGACTATAAAATAACTGTAGTTTTAGTTGGATGTGAGGTCTGTTAATGACGTTGAAGGCTGTTCAGTGCTACATTTTCTCATTTAATTTAGTTCTTTTGTGTTTTACGCTGATGTCTCATCTTTGATTAAACATTCCAGCTTTATTCAGATTCAAAGACGGTGACATTCGGTTCACAACACTTCAGTACCAATGTAACCAGTAACCACTTGTGACACCTCAATTTGATCGTCATGGATCATGTTTTAGCCTAAAATCCCCCTCTAGCAGGCCTTGTCATTTATTCCCAGGTAGAAGTAAAAAAAAAAGTAAAAAAGCAGAAGTTGGCCATCAGGGTGCCCTAAACTCAGGACCAATAAGCTACAGTGATGTCAGGAAAGTTCTTATCTTTTTAAATCACCAACTAACCTCTGCATGATGTTAGGCAGAACTGACTACGTGTAAGTCATGTAAAAAAAAAGTTAAGTTGTAAGTTGTAGTTATCTGGTTGTATTGACAGCAGCTGAAACTAAAGACATGTCCTGGTTATTTTTATTTTGTTTTAGTTGGCTATATATAAGCGTTCGAGTTTTTTTTTAAATTTGAGTTCAAACAATAAAATAATTTTTTAAACGTCATTAATTTAACACGTTTCTCAGTTTTACCTTTCACTGTCAGGTCTTTACAATAACCTTTGTGTAGACTGATATGCTTCGTAGTTCTAATGTTTTGTCTTGCGTACAGGATAGTGCTAATTCTCACAGAGTGATGTCTCCGACACCCATTTTTTTTATCAGAGTCACACCCACACTGCACAGGCTGGGTTATTTTACAAAGCATGAAAGCTTAGATCTTAGATCTTTCTGCACATGGTTGTTGGAGTTTCTCGGCTGAGACTGTTCTAATTCTAGATGAACTAAAGACTTTGCTAGCATGTATTAGCTTTTATGAAGTATTGGCCACAGTAGCTGTTTTCCAGGAGAGTTTGTGAGGTCTTTGAAAGCAACTGAAATAAACGATTGATGTTCAGCCCCATCTTCT